ATGCTTTCTTAATGTACACTTACCCTTTATATAAAATTCTCTTATACATATATGAGTTTCTGTGGATTTGTTTCCCTAGTTTACCCAGACTAACACAGTTACACATGAGTGAAGCACTGGAAGGTTGACAGTCAATATCTACACCTTCAAAGAGTAAGTGTGGCCACATGTTTCTAAAAGAACAAGCCTTGAAAACCCAATTAGCAATTCTACTCTACATCCATAGGGTCGCCATAAGCTACAATAGACTCAATGTCAACTAAGAACGATAACAATTTCTGTTTTCTTTCAGGCAATAGGTCCACATTTCTTTATCCATCAGCCCATGATGTCTCGTGTGCCGCTGTGCTCTTGAAGAACCAAGTCAATGCCACCTCCTCTGTGAAGCCTTTGCTAATTCCTCTCACTCAGACTCTCCCTCCCTCCTTCCCCTGAACCAAACTCCACTTTCAGTTATTTACTCCCGAGACTCTGTCTAGTCAGCCATCCCTGCTTCCTCTCCTTCCCATAGAAACTATGATATGGTTGGGACTCTGACAACATCCACCTTATTGGATGTTATGCATTGATTGACAAACCCTGGAAACATATATTTTAATTCTAAACACCTATACCCATGGGAATAGGAGTTTCCTGGTTGCATTAATGAGACCATATCAGTGTAGAGTGTATTTTACATCAATTACCTTTGAGATGTCAAAAGAGCAGCTTAGGCATCAACCCAGAGAGAAGCACAAATGGAGGGGAAGACTCAAGCCACTATGAAGATCACCAGGAAACCAAGGAAGAAAAGCTGACAGGAGATCAGGACTTGCTCCAAGAATGGACAGAGAGAAAGTCTTTCCTTAGAGCTGGTGCCTTGAATCCAGTTCTAACCTGATGAACAATGAGAGAGTACATTTCTGTTCTTTCAAGTCCCCCACTTAGGCTAGTTCTGCTGTAGCAGGACTAAGAAACTGAGACAGATGCCCTGTGCAAAGCTTGTCTCTTGACACAAAGTGCATAAGCAACACGTGTTTATTGGACACGTGAGTAAATATCCAGTCTTGATTTTCCATTTAACCTTCTTAATTGGGCAAGAGGCTCCCAAAATTGCAGTGGGTAATGATAATAGTGATACAATGTAAAAAAAATTTTTTTAGGAGCTTGGTGGCTTAGTAGGTTACCTGTGCTCTGTAGGAGAAAGATGAGGCTTTCTACTCCCATCAAGAATTACAGTGTCAGAAATCCACAGGGGCAGTTCAGCTCTGTCGTGTCAGGTTGCTATTAGCTGGCATGAACTTGTTGGGTGTGAGTTTGGTTTTTGATTTGAAAAGATCTTTAATGTAAATAAGAACATGAAAGTAAACTACACTACTGTTAATGAGATGAAAAAATGATTTTAACAAAACTGACCTCGAACTATCTATATAATTTTGCATCCTGATTTTTCTACTTGTCTTTTCCCATGCCATTAAATCCCTTTATGATGTGTTTTTATGACTGCATGATAGCGCAAAAACCATATGGATGCCTTACAAGTTGTGTATTGAAGGGAGCCTTGGTAGTCTAGTGGTTATCTTTTGGGCTGATAACTTCAAGGTCAGCAACTTGAAACCACTGGCAGCTCTGCTTCAGAAATACTAAGCCTTTTTCTCCCATAAAGAGTTACTGTCTTGGAAACCCACTGATACATGTTTACTATGTCCCATAGGGTCACTATGAGTCAGAATAAATTTGATGGTTGTGAGTTTTGAGTAAGGTGATGTTGCCTAAATATGGCTCTTCTATTCACTTGTCTATAATCTCCCCCACATCCCTCAAATGTATGGGTGGACCC